AAGGATTTAGTAAAATAGAACGTTTGTCTCCTGTACGTCGCCGTCTGACTTATCAAGCGACCCACGTTCGCTGCTGTTTCGTCACCAGGCAACTATACACGTTTAGTGCATAAACCGATCACCAAGTAGCGCCTTGGCGTGTCATAAATGAGCGGAAGAGAGCTCTTCGTTACTCTTCAAGTCCATTCAACCAATGAGAACTTGTCTGTATCCAAACTCCTCCATGCCAAGACACAGCGCGTTAAGCCGAGTAAGACGCACGTATAAGCTGTCTTTTGACTGTAGTGTGTGCTGGTCTGCACGGTCGGATGTCCGTGGATGTGGCGCATGCCAAGTCCATTCGGACATGCGAACCTGGCACCTTTGTTTGCACTGCTATTCTTACACTCCAGTCCGACATCGCCAACCAAATTCCATCTTCTTTTTCGACAGTCTTTAGTTCAAACAATCGTGGGAAGGCGTTTCTGCTGTCCAGGCTCAACCGTGTGTGGACAGGTTATCCGTAGTTTAAAATTTGGGGAGGATATCTAACTCGCAGCTAGATGACAAACCGTCATCTGATATGGATCGTGGGGAAAAGACGCCTTTCGAATGCTGAAAGTGGGTTTCGATGACATACAGCCGCTTACGACTACGCAGTGAATATGAAACGCCGTATCCAAAACGTGTTTGTCTTGTGCCAAGAGCTTGTAATTGTGTTCTTGGAAACGTTGTGTGATGCCACATGGCGATGTGTTTTGAGAACTTTCCACCAGTGGAGTCGTAGGGGTCTGTTGCCACAGTTTCTTTCGAAATTCCTCCAGAACCGTTATTTTCTTGTCCGTCTCGGCAATGTCTTTTCTACGCGTTCTTCTGAAAAAACGTTTGCCACAACGATAACTTTTAAACTTAGCGAAATACGCAATTTCTCGCCAGTGTGATTGCTAACGCAGTTGGCCTCTGTATCTCGATATCATTGTACGAGTATTCAGATGACGCCGCAATTTTCTAGGGTTCTCGGAGAATAGATTCCGTAGGAAGTCTGCTGAAAGTCGCAAATAACCGATAATCTTGTCACCCTGGGGTCAAGAGGATGTTTCACTTTCTACAGCAAAGATCAGATATGCGTGATTTACATCTTCGCCATTCTCTATAACTGATTTGTCTTACTACTGGCGCCGTTTGCAGCAGTCGTTTGGAGAGAATCTGCATGTGGAATGAGGCGAGGTCTTGCTCTCTTTGTGTAGGAATCTTCACCTTTGAAACTATTTCTGCGATGCAATCCAAGCACCTGGCACATGGAGCTGTTTTATCACTCCTGCGAGAGGCACAGCCGCTCGACCTGTGAGCCACGACCAACAGATGTCCTACCCGCTAACTTCGATTCGTTACATGCGAAGGTGTAACGTGCACCATCACGTATTGTCAGAACTGACGGGTAGCTTGTTCAAGTCTCGACATGCAGTTTTTGCGCCTATGATGACCAGATGTTTCAAGACGGTTTCTACTGGCGAGCTCTTCTGCTTATCCGACGTCATCCTCTACAGAGGCTGTTTGAGTGCCTTGCAGAGTCTGTCCGACCGCCATCGAGATTGTGATTCAAGTGTCCCTCCTTCCCAAGGCAGGAAATTTGCTTGTGTTTTGCTGGTTGCCTGGGCATGCAGGCCTGCCTGACAAAGAGGTCACCGATGCGGCAGCGGAGGTTACCGCCTCAAAGGACCTCTGAGCTCTGTGCAGTAGTGGCATTTCTAGTGCCACCAGGGAAGGGGAATTCCTCGTCCGCCTATGGATTGGCCGCACATGAATATTTGTTGCCTGGGGAACCGGGACCTATTTTGTACAGTACACTGTGAGGTTTTCACAGTGGTGAGTCCGAAGATGGCTGTCTTCTGGGTTGTTGCGCCGTGTAGTCTGGTCGATGTTAACCAACGTTTCAGAGGTCATACTGCCTCCATCATCAGGGCGATGAGTATGAAGATTTCTGTCTTCTGGGTTGTTGCGCCGTGTAGTCTGGTCGATGTTACCCAACGTTTCAGAGGTCATACTGCCTCCATCATCAGGGCGATGAGTATGAAGATGGCTGTCTTCTGGGTTGTTGCGCCGTGTAGTCTGGTAAATCCTACTTGTTTGATACTTCCTATATAAACGTCAAAGAAATTGCTCTGCACAGTTGTCGCTTACCTGAAGGAACGAACTATTTCTGACAGAATATTTTGTTTACATATAAACTAAATTACCATGTACTAATTATGTTTTACTTATACAATAAATTATGCTCAAGTTTGCATTGAGGTTAGTTCTTTCTTTATGCCCCGTCTTCCCCTATTTATAATGCATTTCCATTCTAAATTAAATATTATGTGGTTTCTTAGTTATCGCTGTTAACCTGAAAGAAAAACTGAACTTAGTTGGAATTTATGCCTATTTGTGAAAATTTATGGGTAGAAATTATTCTCATATGTCATTATTGAATAACAGTTTCTGCTAGTTGTGTCTAGAATTTTATGTTAGCTATAAATCATATGCAAGTGAAGGCCTTTAGTTAACTCTGCCTCCTTCAGGGTTCACGAAAATAATCACGAGTACAGATATATCTCGAGTTCGTTGCTAAGTTAACCTGTTATATAAGTTGTTTTTATCTTGTGGACAGATTTATTGGCTGCTAAAAATCTGTCATAAGAAGTTATAGTCTTCTGGGTTTAATTCCAATTAAAGTATGTGGCTTAACTGATAATAGTTTTCTTCTTATTTGTCTGTAGCAGAGTGTCTGATAAATTATCTTTGCAACATTACTGCCAATTCTAGTTTATTTATTTCTAGTCAGTGCTGAACAGTTTTCGATATGCATCATCACTTGTTCTTTTTCCTTCATTCAGCGACTCCTTTCTTCCAGATCAGATGTGCCCTTTCTTCAGCTACGTGTTTGTGGTGTTATCTGTACCATTTACTGTAATTCATTCTTTGGAGTAAATTATATGATCATTTCTATTTGTCTGAACATTTGATGTTTTGAAAGTATTGGACAGATTTCTATGACATTTGGAACTATGTGGGTCTGCATTAACAATGCTTGAGTGTGTAAGGCAGATCCAACTTAACCGTAGCTTCACACAACACTTCAGTCCAGTCTTATGAAATAAGCGTTGGTAACCAACTGTTCATAACAAAAGTATAGATATACACAAAACTTTAATATTATACGTATTATGAAAGACTGACCATTATAACCTTTGCCGTGGTAACGCTGTTTGAGGGATTGTATCTCTTCATTGTGCATTGTTCTTGGCTAATATTAACGCGTTCTTTGCACGATGCCAATTTGTCTGTCTGTGTGTATATCATTTAACCAAGAGCTCAATCGACACCCTCAAACTTAAAAAAGTTGGCCGTGTAACAGAAATGAGACACTGACAGATGGACGAAGGCTGTCTGCACATTACGCGTTCGTATTGTGCAAATGGCGTATGATCGCTAAGCGTCTGTACCAAAGAGGAGAGCTAAACGGGGTTAAATTTGGTTGTATCTTGGAGATCAAGTTTGCGAGTTGAAGCCGAAACGTCTTTGTCATCGTACATGATGACCTGTGGTCAAACCAAAATTCGGTTGCGTTTTTAACGTATGGGCACATCTTCTGGTGGTAGGAGAGGAATCTGGCATATTCCCATTCTTGTATTGTTTCAGTCTTAACTTGTAAGCCTTCGTATAATTCAAACGAATTAACGAGGAGAACATTTCGATATTTGAGAAACTAGTAACTTGGGAACTGAGAAACTTGTTTGACTTTTAAGTTACAGCCAAGTAGGCTTACTGTTACATGCTTCTATTCTACGAACGAGATTTGTCGACTTAAAATCGAAATTTCCTACTGTATCTTTGGTACCGTAACACCGAAAGTTCATTATCGGGTTTACAAAAGTCTACTGTTTGACTCTCTGTTGAGGGAGTTTAATCTATTTCACGCCTTCAAACTCAGTTTCCTTTTTATTCATTTTGACATTGTCCTCCCATCTACACTTCGGCCTCCCTTTCGTGAACGTTTCCGGATTTCTTTTTTCATGTTTGGATGTCTCGGTTCCGTTATGGATCCGCCTGTCCGCATCCTTCTTGCTTTAATCACTCTGACGTCAACTGACAAGCGTTTGCAGAGCTTTGTAAAATAAACAGTGGCAGGTAAAAATATGAAGTGTGTGATTGGAGAACCGAGTCCCATCAGCGCTATAATGAGCTGCGTTCTTGAATGCCGTCCCCTGACTCCCGCTGAACTGCTAACGTACGCGCTCTTCAGGGTGGGTGAAGGTACCTGAGGAGATTTTTTTGTGGACATTCAGATAAATGAGTGTACATGCGCATCTCACGTCCCGTATCGCTCCTCAAAGAACCGTATCCTTGTGTTTCGTTAAATATTCATCATTAAGGTAAGAGTTGTAGATCCCAAAGAGATCCACACTTTCATGTTTCTTAACAAGACAGTTTCTTGGTGAGATTTTACGTAATCAAGGCGGCGAGTACGAAGATTACTTCTGGGCTTCTGAACTATATAGTCTGCTCGAAGGGATATGATAGAACCAGCAATCACGTCTGAAACGTCGGTAAACGTCTGCCAGATTAGATGGCTCAACAAATTTCATCAGTTTCTTGTACAAAGACCTAGTTTTTGCATTCAGACATCTGAACGTTTTATACAGCCGAGGTAACTGAACTGCTCAGTCGACCTCTGCCTTTGTACATCCAACGACCAACACCATTAAAAACTTCAATGGTGTATTTCCAATTACTGACATGGAGGCCGCTCATAAAATTTCTGTAAATTTCAGTTTGACAGCGATAAATAATGAACCAGTGGGGGTAGAGATCGATTATAAACACAGCCGACCCATCTCTTTGGAGGGGGGTGGGGGGGATTGAGTTGTGGTTGTCTGCGTTTATGCTTTTGAGAACAACAGAGCGTAAGTTTACACTGTTTTAAAAGTGCCCCAGACATTTCATTTCATTACCACACGTTGTTATTGTTGTGTTTGCAGGGTCGACATCAAGCTTCCTACCAGTCGAGGGAAGTGGATGGACCTACAAGGAAGGCGGCAATGGTGAGTGCTGTCAGTATCAGCGGTGAAGAAAAACTGATCGCTGACTCACTTCATAGGCAGCATATATAAACGTAACTATTTAAAATTAATTCGGACACTTTCTAAAGTGATTAACATCAGAACATCGCCTCTAGCCTCATTTCATTTCTTCCACTACCCTGATGGCTACTGAGTAGAGAGAGAGAGCGTGCAAAATATAACCTGTTCACAAGGACTAGATCCTTTAAAAGTCCCGGAAAGGAAATGTGCGCATACCGTAACAGTTCTGGCGCGTTTTCCAGAATATGACCTTCCACATTTGGGAAAGCCACCACCAATGTCAGAGTTGTCAGGATCAGTGACCTGTGCTTGGGCGTGATCTACAGCTCACTCGGAATTTCGAACCCAGTCACTCCTTCATGTATTGTGTCTGTGACTTTTGTTCGATTTTAACTAAGATTGGAATATCAAAACTAAAAGTTCTTGATGATGGTGATGAGTCATTAGAATAAGAATTTTCTTGGATATTATCCATCGTCTAGTAAATATAAAACGTAAAACGACGTTTCGGAGATGGGACTCTATCTTTATCTCCGGAGATAGGGATTAGCTCTATCTAGTGGGCCCAACTGAGTAGGAACCTGAAGACGGAGATAGAGCCCCATCTCCGAAACGTCGTTTCTTACGTTTTATATTTTATTTACTAGATGATGGATAATATCCAAGAAAATTCTTATTCTAATAAAACTGGAATGTACCGACAAATTTTAGCAAAAGCCCCGTGTGTTAAATTACATGTTAATCTGTTGAGCGGTTGCTAAGTTGTTGTTGCATTCTGATAGAATGACACTGCGAAGCTGATATTACATTATACACGGATTCGGTAAAAAATTTGGCTATGAAGTTGTCTGTAGGGTTTCCGTCAGCCAGGAATTTAGCTGATAGGTTGGTATGTCGTTCATTAACGTTATATCATCTTGGAGAGTTTAGAATTAAGATGGATATTTGAGTAAATGCGCAGTGTTGTCACCGAGGATAGCTGTTGTGATGTGTTGGTCAGTTTACTGACACGTTAGTGGTTAGTTAAGCCTAATCCATAGCAACAAATTGAACATAATTTACAAATTTGGTGCAAATGTATAAACTGATATTCAAATCTACGCAGTTCGTTTCTTGCCAGCCGCGATGCGCACACCACGGGTTTAAACAGCTGATCTGTTGCTTATTGCGGAACCCTCGCCCAATTAGTGTGGGAGTGAGGAAGAGGGCTCATTGATACTGATAGGATGAGCACTGTAATGCCTAGCGCGAAGGGTGAGGTCATAGAGTTTGCCATGATTTGGCCTGACTAACTGCAAACAGTAGTTTTGAATTAGCATTGGTAATAGTAGAAGGAAAAGTCGTAGCTGTAATATTGAGCCCTTCCAAGACAGTTTATTTTCATGACTCGTGAGTTTCAGTGTCTTATGAATTGGGGTTTACCTTCTCGTACCACGAAAATCGTATGGAAATTTTAGAGTGAGAAATATAGTTACATTTGCTACGAGAAGGAAAGGATTTTTTTTAAAGAAACTTACGCTGCGTTATGATTAAAATATATAGAAATTAAATGCGAAATAAATTTAACCATGAGGATTCTGAAGAGTCGCATTGCAAAACGGGATATATAACTGTCAGGGAGCGAGATAACGAATACTGTCCCGTGGAGTACACACACGAACGCACGCACGCTTTTGCGCCATTTAGTCGACTTTAATAAAACTTGACCGTTAAGAGACGACCCCGAACCGATGGGGACTGAATTTGTTAGGAGCTAGCGACACTTAATATGGGCTCCTGAAATTTTGTATGATAACAGATCCTCGAAAATATTCAATTTTTGTCTTTACTTTTTTACTTTGTGATATTTATTGTGTGTAACACAACATTGTATCTGCAGATATTTGCACTTGAATTTCAGTTTGACTGTGGTAATTAACCCTTTCAAGCCGAAGCTCGTCTAAATATTATTTAATAAATCAGTCCGTACCGCGAAGAAAACACAACACTTCACCATTACAAAAGACAACTGGTTGACGCTGTTTAAGGAAATAATCCCTATTTACACTGAGAACAATCCGAAACCCATACATACAAAACGCAGAGTTATTAACTGTGTGAAGCAGGTGGTACATATAGTTACCACTGGGTCTTAAAGGGTTAATGGACCATTGGAGCTAACAGTATTAAATGTTTGAAGGTAAATGATAAACATACCTCCAAGTTTTTACAAGTCAAGATAGGAACACCTACAAAATTGTGTATGAAATATCGTAAAAAGTCAATAATTGCAAACATGGCGACAGTGCGACGCTTTGAGGTTATATCCGGCAGATTTAACTTGAACAGAATTTGTACGAAAGAAAGTAATTGTTCCTTTAAAAAGTACTTCGCAACAAATACTAACATTATATACCACGAATAATCATTATAACAATCTGTAATATGTTTGTATTTGCAAGGAATCAAAACTCTGATCTGAGTAGAATTCGATCCCGTAGCGATCTACATATAAGCCATGAGCTAACTTGCATTGCTTTGTTCGATTTTAGACTTACATTGTCAAAGTATACTCTACTTCTCAGTGCATGATGCCTGTTTATCTGGCTAAAATTAAATTTTGGCACGTTCGCACTTGGCATCTGCAGATTTTACTCTGGTTCTCCTTCTACAAATACCGTTTGGTTGTGTATTCTGTGACGTAAAAGTTACCAGAGGTGGCGTAACGACCATCTGAAGTTACGAAATATGTAACGGTATGTCATATAAGGGAAACTGGTAAATTCGCCGGTGCTAATACTTACATATCATCGAAATCTATCGAAGTTTCCAAATCAAAAACATGCGAAACTCGACTTAATTTCTACCCATTCAAGAAAAGTTCTTACCACTTACACGAATTAAATTAAACAGTTTATAACGAATGCAATTCCAAGCGCTGTCACAGGCCACTGAGGGCATGAACGTTCTT